GCTTAGTGCAAGATAGCAACCCCAGTGCATGGCATAGGTTGGGCAGGCAGCAGTGTTTTCTCTCACTTTCAACCCAGCTTTTTTTTTGCCACTCTTAGAACTACATGCCTTAGCATCCCCTGGGGGTGGTAAGGACACATGGATGAGGTGCTAGGACCTGTCACCATAAACCTGTATGCTGTCCACCTTTCCCACTAACCAGGCTTGGTGGCATTGCTCACCTGTGTCCTCCCAGAGCAGCTTTGGTTTCTGGGCTGTTGGTTAGCTCAGTGCACGGTGCCAGAGAAGCCAGTGGGTTCTCCCACCTCCTCCCCTGCCTTGTTAACCCAGGTTTCTCTCTCTTCCTATCTGCCACACACAGCAGCAGAAACGACCCAATCCTGAGCTCCGCCGGAATGTGACCATCAAAACTGCACTCCCACTGGGCGCACGTTAGTATGGGAGAGTGGGCCTCAGACCTAGTCCTTGTTCTGGGGGCATATTTTTAGGGGATCAGACTCTGGGATTCTGGGCCTAGCTCAAAGGGATCTGAGCCCAGAGGAGAGCACAGCTCCTGGGATTGAGAAGGGTGTGTTTCTGGACCCATACCCCTCATCTCTCCTATTTCCTCCTAGGGCGGAAGATGAAGCCATTACTGCCCCGGGTCAGCTCATACCTGGTACCCATTCGGTTCCCAGTAAGCCAGCCACTGGTGTTACAACCCTCAGTAAAGGTGCCGTTGCCCCTGGCAGCTTCACTCATGAGCTCAGAGCTTGCCCGCCACCGCAAGCGGGTCCGTATTGCCCCCAAGGTGAGTGGCTTCTGTTTTCCTCTGAGGATTATGTGCATTGGACCTATATTTGCAACTGCACTCTGCTGAGTGTTCCTTGAATAGCTTATAAATCAATTGGGTAGGTAAGACAGCGCTCCCCTAGCCATTTTAGTTACTTACTTATTTTATTATTTTTTAAAATATATTTTTATTGGTTTCAAAGAAGAAGGAAAAGAAATAGAAACATCAGTGATAAGAGAGAATCATTGATTGGCTGTCTCTTGCACGCCCCCTACTGGGGATCAAGCCCACTACTTATGACTCTTGGTTCATAGTTTGAACCACTGAGCCATGCCAGCCAGGGCCTCCCCTAGCCATTTTACAGATACATACATAACACATGGAACATTGAAAATGGGTTTATATTACAAGTCACCTGGCATAGCTCTAATTCATTGTCTTTTGTTGTTGTTGTTGTTGTTAATCCTTACCTCAGGATTTTTCCATTGATTTTTAGAGAGAGTGGAAGGGAGAGGGAGAAACAGAAATAAATATCAATGTGATAAAGACACATCGATTGGTTGCCTCCTGCACTCACCTTAATCAGGGCCAGGAAACCTGCAATCAAGGTATATGCCCTTGACTAGAATCATAATTCATTGTCTTTTAGTGGTCACATAGTATTCCATGGTATGGCTATGTCAAAATTTTTCTTTCTTTTTTTAAAATATATTTTATTGATTTTTTACAGAGAGGAAGAGAGAGCGATAGAGAGTCAGAAACATCGATGTGAAAGAAACATCGATCAACTGCCTCCTGCACACCTCCTACAACCAAGGTACATGCCCTTGATCGGAATCAAACCTGGGACCTTTCGGTCCGCAGGCCAACGCTCTATTCACTGAGCCAAACCAGTTTCGGCTATGTCATAATTTTTCAAATCATTTTACTTTTATGGACTGTAACATTTTGTTTCTAATATTTTTCTCGTATGAGCAACACTGCAATAATATCTTTGCAAGTATTTTCTTACTAGTGCTTTTATTTTTATGGAATAGAGTCCCCAGACATGAGATTGCTCAGTAAAGAGGTATTTTAAATTTTATTAAATATTGCTAGATTGCTGTTTAAAAAATAGGTGATAATTCACATTTCTGCTAGCAACATATGACAAGACCTATGTCTTTGCTAGCAATTGGCATTGTTCATCTTTTTTTTTTTTTTAATATCTTTTATTGATTTTTTACAGAGAGGAAGGGAGAGGGATGGAGAGGGATAGAGAGCTGGAAATGTTGATGAGAGAGAAACATCAATCAGCTGCCTCCTGCACACCCCCTACTGAGGATGTGCCCGCAACCAATGTACATGCCCTTGACTGGAATCGAACCTGGGACCTTTCAGTCCGCAGACGGACGCTCTATCCACTGAGCCAAACTGGTTTCGGTTCATCTTTTTAATATTTGCCCATCTAATGTACATAAATTATTCTTCTTTGTTTATTAGTAAGTATGAGCACCTTCTTGTTATGTTTATTCACGTGGGATTATGGACATTGCCTATTTTTTATAGGGTTTTGTTAATTTGTGCTAATTCATTTTATTAAAATATTAACCTTCTCTTAGGTTGAAGTTTTTTGGTGTGTTTTTTTTCCATTGTTTGTTTCTTAACTGGATTTATGGTTTCTCTTGCCATAGTAAGATTTTACATTTTTTATGTAGTCAAATTTATCTCTTTTCTCTCTTACAGCTTTTGGGTTTCCAGTCTTGGTTAAGAAGGTCACCCTCAGATTGTACATGTAGTCTTCTAGATTCTCTTTCAGGATTTGTATGGTTTTATTTTATTTTTATTTTTATTAGGATTTGTATGGTTTTAATTATTCTTTTATCTTTGTATATAGTATAAAATAGGCGTCCATTTTTAATGACTTTACCTTTTCCCCCTGGAATTGAGCTACCACCTTCATCATATATTCTCATATTTAATTGTTTTTAATAATTTAAAAAGACAAAAAGAGGATTGGTAGCAGCGTGTCACTTATTTTAGTCAGCATCTTCTGTCCCTCCTCATGACTGGGTTGAATCTCCAGGCTTCAAGAGCTCCCTCTCATCTTTTCCCTGCTTCCTTTTCAGGTGCCACTAGCTGATGAGGGGGTCGCCCCTCTGCCCACTGCAGGGCCAGTGAAAGAGGAGAAACTCCTGCTTGGAGAAGGGCTGTCTCCTCTGCTTCCAGTTCAGTCCATCAAGGAAGAAGAAACACAGCCGGGGGAGGAAATGCCGCACTTAGCGAGGCCCATCAAGGTGGAGAGCCCGCCCCTGATAGAGTGGCCCTCGCCGTGCCCATCGGTCAAAGAGGAGCTGTCTCAGTCCTGGGAGGAGGACTCCCCTCACTCTCCCACTCCGAGGTCCAAGAAGTCCTACAGTGGACTCAGGTCCCCAACCCGGTGTGTGTCTGAAATGCTCGTGATTAAACGAAGGGAGGGGAGGGAGATGAGCCGCTCTCGAAGGAAACAGCACCTGCTGCCTCCCTGTGTGGATGAGCCCGAGCTGCTCTTCTCGGAGGCCCCTGGGACTTCAAGACCAGCCACAGAGCTCCCTCTCCCCTCAGAGCCCTCTGTGCCTGCCCCCCAGCTTGGCTACTCCCAGGAGGAAGGAGGACCTTTTAAGACACCCGTTAAGGAGATGCTGCCCATCTCCTCTACCCCGAGCAAATCTGTCCTCCCCTTGAGCCCTGAATCCTGGAGGCTTACACCCCCAGCCAAAGTTGGGGGGTTAGAGTTCAGCCCAGTACGAACCCCTGAGCGTGCCTTTGGCCCCCTAGCTGACTCCCTGGGCCTGCCAGATTTCAGTACCACCCCACTGAAAAGTATCCCCCTCTTTGATTCACCCCAAGAACTCCTCAATTCTGAGCCCTTTGACCTCAACTCTGACCCCTTTAGTAGCTGCCCCCTCTCAGACATGGAAGTCCCCAAGCCAGGCTACCCCATGGTCGGGGAGCCACAAGTCGCCAGCCTTCCAGCCAACCGTTCCCTGACAGAAGGCCTGGTTCTGGACACAATGAATGACAGCCTGAGCAAGATTCTGCTGGACATCAGCTTCCCTGGCCTGGAGGAGGACCTGCTGGGCCCTGACAACATCAACTGGGCTCAGCTCATGCCTGAGCTGCGATAGAGACCTGACCTGATCCTTGCTGCTCAAGCTGTCCACTCTGCAGTTGTGTGGCTGGGCCATCCAAGGCCTGAGTAAGGACAGCAAGCAGGGACTGTCCGCCCCTCCAACCGCACTTTGTTATGCCAAGGCAGACATCACACCATAGTGACCACCGGGCCCTCTGCAAGCCTCCAGGCCCTGGTACCTGAACTCTGCGCCATCCTGTGCTCCCCTAGAGAATCTGATTCCTCATTCCCCCTGTGAGAACTGAAGGGTGGGCATAGCAGAAACAAGGATGAAAAGAGATTAGGAACTCCCAAAACTGTTTGTATTCTGTGCCCAGCAGTTTCACCTTCCCTGTTCCTTGCAGGGTGTCCTGTAAATAGTGTATATGCTCCAAATTATCCTCTAATTTTTAAATGTAAGCTTATTTCCTTAGATCATTATCTACAGACTATCAGAAGATGGGTAGGATGACAGGGGTTTCAGTTTGCTTCCCGTTCCTTGCTTTTAGTCTCTAGAGAAGGGAGACCTGCAGTGCACGCTTTCCTCCAGGCTCAAGTCGCCTGCCTCAAGGGTTCTTTACTGTACGCACCCAGACAAGCAGATCTTGCCGGAGCCCCTCTTACTGTTCTTCCCTCCCACCTCCCCATGTTTCCAAGAAGAAATCCTGGTAAAAATGTCTCTTATAATGTGTCAAAGTTGAATTGGGAGTGGAGGGTGGACGCATCTGAAGCAGAGTGGGTGCCCAGCGTGTGCCCATGTGATGTTTCTCTGATAGTGCCCCTAATCATGCCAGAGAGACTAGCACTGATGAGAACTCTGCCTGAGGCTTGAGAAGACTAAAAGGGTCCTGACCTGCCTGGCTTCCTTAGCTTGCACTGCAGCTTTGCAAAGAGCCACCTAGGCCCCGGCTGGCCATATGCATGTGAGCCAGCACAAGAACACTACTGTAACTACTCAATAAAATCCAGGGTGTAAGAGTTGCTCTCTGTGGTGTGTTGGCGTCTGGTCCCTAAGCATAAGAAGGGATTGGGAAAGAAAGTGGGTGATGATGAAGACAAGCAAGGTCTGAAGATATGAGGCACTAGAGAGTGCAAAGGGCTTTGGCATGGACTGCCTCCCATACGGTACCTGCACAGGCACACAGCCTCTCTAGCACAGAGATGACTGCTTACCAATAATGGTCCTGCACAGCCAGTCCCCTCCAAGGGAAAGGAATAGCTGGGGGCAGACCTTCCAGAACATTAGGAAAGGATGAGCCCAGTTAAGGTGCCTCATGACCACCTTTACCTCCAACTTAAGGCCTGAAAGCCAGCCTGTCCTGCTTTTCTCCGCAGGCCTTCCTAGGCCCGTCCCTTCCCGGAAGTGCTCCCATTTCCATCTTTCACAGAACTTGTCTCATCCCCTGACTCTGGGACTGGATAGCCAGGACCCAAAGGGCTGATGAGCCCTCCTCCCTGAGACACCACCTGGGAAACAGCACCATAGCAACCCGGGCAGCAAACAATGCTGCCAGTAAGGTCTTCCCTATAAAGCTGCCCCTCCTGGCAATTAGGCCCAGAAGAAGAATGGCCTGTAACCCAGGAAGATCACTCAGAGGGCGAAGTAATCCATCCCATGCCAGGAAGCCTTTCCTGCAGGTAGGGGGCAGGGCTCCATCTCTGAGGCCTACCTTTTTGTACTCCACTGGGCTAGTGGCTGTCCCCCTGGGTGGGTCATGCTTTCTCCAAGGCAGCAGATCTGTCTGTGAATGCCCGCTGTCTTCCTCCCTTAGTTCTATGGTTCTGTGAACATGGAGTTCAGAACAGTGGAGAGGAGAAGCGTGGTTATTACATCTGGACCGTTGGTCACATCGCAATGATTTAGGGGCCTGGGTCCAAGAAACGGGAGTGTGAGGAACCAGCAAAGTCCTAGGAGTGGCCTGGAGGGAGAGGCATTTTTGAAGAGCATAGCATCATGATTAGTGCAGACAAATGGCCACAGTCCCAGCTCTGCTGCTCACAGGCTTTTCTGGGTGAGTTGTTCACTGTGGGAGATATTTACTGTGTCTTGCTCTTTGTGTCTTTGAGATGAGAACCATAATAACACCGGCTCACAGGGCTGTGAATATTAAATGAGATGTGGATAAGTATTTAGCGCAGTGCCTACATATTTGCTACTGCTTATTTCATGGGGGTGTGGCAGGAAAAGGGAAGGGACAAACAGCCTAGATGCTTGCTATACTTGCTTGTATTTTAATGAGAAGGGCAATGCACCAGCGACAGGGAAACAAGTAGTAGGAGGAGTCCTGGTAGTAAAGCACCCAGGCTCCCTCCTCTGGGCAAAGACTCCCTTCTACACTTGGCTTGGTTAGGGACATTTCCCCTCAGGATTTCCTCAGGCCTGAGGTGCCCCGTTAGGAGCATGAGTTCCTCCGCAGGAATGTGGGGGCCCCAGAGTGAAGCGGCTGGGTGGCGGTAAGGAGTGAAGAGTGGGAAAATCCAAGTTGAAAGAGGCTGGGAAATCAACCCCAAATCTGATAGGTGGAAAGAGAATGAAAGATGAACATTCTATGGGAATAATACAGAGCTGGCCTCCCTGCTGCTGGGCGGGGCCGAAAGGGAGACACGCTTCTGGACACAAAGGAGCTGGCAGCTCCTTTCCTCTGGACTGAGAAGGAGAGGCCGAGTACCCCCACGCTTCCTTTGTCTCTCTCTAGATGATCCTGGCCAATGGGTCCCTCCCAGACTACCGCACATGGTCTGAGCGTGAGTTTCTCCTCACGGATAAGCCGGGGGAATTGCCTGGCTTCACCCGGCAAGTCTACCACCAGCTGGCCCGGAAGCTGCCACCCTGCACAGACATCAAGTCCAGGGTGCGCCACCAAGTAAACCAATCGTGGAAAGAGAAAGCCGAGCACACCTGGGGCTTCCACACGTGGCTTGATGTGGGGCGCTTGCCCGCCACCTTTCCCAGCAGGCCGGAAAGACCCTATGATAGCAATGTGTGGCGCTGGCTGACGGACTCCAGGGCCCACCGCCATCCCCCAGCAGACCCCCCCATCCCCCCGCCCTCCTGGATGGGTCACAACACCTATATGCACTTCATCAGCTGCGCTCCTATCTTCTTGAATGAGTATAAAAAGGAACAGGCGATTCTAAGGGCAGTGAAAGAACTAAAAGAAGTGGAGAAACTCAAGCTGAGGAGTGAAGCAAGGGCACCTCCACTTGACACCAATGGCAACATCCTGCCGCCAAAGAACTTCAAGAAGTAAGAGGCACTCCTTCCTCAGGGAGCTCACCCACCTACCCACGTCCAGGTGACCCCTCCCACTCTGATTCCTGTTTCTGATATCTAATTAGTACTCTAACTTTCCCGCCTCTGAAAACTAAGCACTCTTCTGGATGTATCTGGAGGGAAAGGATGGAGGCAAGGAAAAGATAGATAGGAGAGGGGTTCAATTATTTATTTTTTAAAATATATTTTTATTGGTTTTTTACAGAGAGGAAAGGAGAGGGGTAGAGAGTTAGAAACATCGATGAGAAAGAAACATCGATCAGCTGCCTCCTGCACAGTCCCTTCTGGCGATCAAGCCTGCAACCAAGGCATGCCCTCAACCGGAATCAAAGCAAGGATCTTTCAGCCAGTGGCCCGACACTCTATCCACTGAGCCAAACCGGTCAGGGCTCAATTATTTAATTAAAAATTAGGAAATACTACTTAATACCCACTATAGGCCTAGGGGATACACAGAAATGTCACTCAGTCCATGTGAGTGACATTTCTGTGTATGTCACTTACGAAAGGCAGATGGCTACATACATGCACGGAAAGACATCTATCAATGCAAGCTCTCACGTGGCAAGTGCTTTGTGTGAGACTGAGGGTGTCATGAGGATGTCAGTTATTAGTGGAAAGAGCTGAGAACTAGAGCCAGAGGCTTGGATTAAAGTGTCACTTTGGCAAATTGCTTACTTTTTCTAAACTCAATTCCATTGTTGATAAAGTAGGGATGGTCAATACTATGCCTACCTTAACATGTGAAGATAAAATGGGTTAATGAACATATGGACACACTAAACAAAAAACTAATGTTCAATTTCAACAAAGAAATTCAGAAGAGAGAAGGACAGGGATTGCTGTGGGCTAGAGCACCCCCCAGGAAGGCTTCATGAGAAAATGAATGAAAGCTGAAAGGGAAGGAAGCCTTCAGAAAAGCAGAAAGGCCCTGGCCAGTTTGGCTCAATGGATAGAGGGTCCCAAATTCGATTTCGGTCAAGGGCACATGCCCAAGTTGCAGGCTTGATCTCCAGTAAGGGGGTGTGCAAGAGTCAGCCAATCAATGATTCTCTCTCATCATTGATGTTTCTCTCTCTCCATCTGCCTTCCTCTGACCTCTCTCTCTCTGTCTCTCTCTTTCTCTCTCTAAGGAGGGAATGGAGAACTGACTGGTGTGAGCAGAGGCAGGATTGCAAAAGGACTTATTCCAGAACCCTGCAGCTCCTCCCACCCCTGCACCCCATTGTGGGAACTCACAGATATTGCCATACTGCGTCCAGTCCAGGCACTGGGCATGAGTGGCAGGAAAGGAGGAGAAGAATAAGGATAGAAAGTCTCAAATTCTGATCCCACAGGCATTAACAGAAGCATTGAGGGGTTGAAGGGGGAGGCTGTGGAGATCTGCAATCTTAAAAAAGAAAAAGGCCAACAATTGGTGATTTTGAGAGAATATTATTCAGGGCCTTGGCTTCTCTCTAGTGTCCTTGCAATTAAGATTTATTATTACTTTTTAAATATATTTTTATTGATTTCAGAGAAGAAGGGAGAGAGAGAGAGAGAGAGAGAGAGAGAGAGAGAGAGAGAGAGAGAGAGAGAAACATCAATGATAAGAGAGAATCATTGATTGGCTGCCTCCTGCACGCCCCCACCTAGGGATTGAGCCCACAACCCGGGCATGTGCCCTTGACCAGTCCCCAGGCTGATGCTCTATCCATTGAGCCAAACCAGCCATGGCTATTATTATTATTTTTAATTGATTTCAGAGAGGAGAGGAAGGGAGAAAGATAGAAACATCAATGATGAGAGAGAACCACTGATTGGCTGCCTCCTACACACCCCACACTGGGAATCAAGCTGCAGGCCTGACTGGTGGTGGAGGGGGTGGTAGTAGAATTGACCTGTGAACTCCTGGCTCATAGGTTGGCACTCAACCACTGAGCAACACCAGCTGACTACAATAAAGATTATTGATGGCTAATATGTGCCAATACTAGGCATACAAAGATGAAGGAGACTTAGCTTACTCCTCAAAAAACTCAGTCGAATGATAGTGCCAGATGTTCTGTTGTTCCTTTTAAACAGCTCTGTAAGGGGTTAAAATAAATTGTTAGAATTACTCTATATCCATGAGAGAGCACATTGAGGTTTGAGCACCAACCAGAAGAGTCTAAGGGTGTAATCCTGTCTCTGCTAACACAAGTGGAGAATAGTTAGAATCTGAATAATGATATATCCTACAATATGTCAAAAGATTGACCAGCTAAACATAGTTATTCCAGCCTAATACCAAACACACACACAGTTTATCTGGAATAGATCTATTTCCAATTAGGAAAAGAGACAGAGGGATTCCCTATAGCCTGATTGCTCATAACTTATGGAGGGCTGCATCGTATTCTTCTCACCCCTTCCGTTGTGCCTGATCTCTTCTCCGACTTCCTGTTCTCTCCACACCCTCACCCCTCAACAGGTATCTCCACTTCTCAGCTGGTGGAAGGTTTGAACCTTTCGGCTTCCAGCTTCTGCCCACCCCACTTCCCAGTGACTCTGCCAGGAGCAGGCCCTGTCCGAACCCTGTGCCTCACTACCAGGAGAAGGTGCTAAAGCTGGCCTTCTTGCCAAGTGCACCCCTGGGAAAGGACCTCGTGAAGAATTACCAAACCCTGATAAAGGACCGCATTGCCTTTCCCCTCCACATTCTCTCCAAGGCACAACCCAGCAAAGCCTTTTCCAGGAAGAGAAAAAGAAGACCTGTGCACACCTTGAAAAGCCTCCAGATGGGTGAGGACCACGGTGGACACACCGCCCCGTAGGCTCCAGTGTTCTCAGTAAATGTACCTTAAGCAGGAAGGCTTTGAGTGGCTGATGGACTCTGGCTTCCCAGAATGGAATCTCTCCAGCTCCTCCCCAACTTCAAGCCATCTTTGTAGCCCAGGCTCCTCAAGACTCTACTGAAACTCTAAACTGTTACATCTTCCTTGGAGGGCACTCTCATAGCAAGTGGGAATATTGGGGGTGGGGGTGGGAGACACAGAGAGAGCAGGGAGAGCAGAGGAGGGTTTCCATTCTCAGGGACAGAATGAAAAGTGGGGAGAAAGACAGTGTGTGTGTGTGTGTGTGTGTGTGTGTGTGTGTGTGTGTGTGTGTAGGGTTGGGGGGAGGAGGGAAGACTGTAAGAAATGTGAGAAAGAAGTTACTTCCACTCACATAGCCCCCTGGAACAAGACTGGAATTATCAGAGTACAGGAAGCTTTTTAGGCAAAAATAACCTCAATTCTACCCCTCCATGGACCATTTGACGTCTGGAAAAAGACTGGAGGTAACTCTGCTGGGTTGCAGGTCCTTCACAGGGTTTGGGGAAGCAGAGGTTAGGCCTAGGCTGGTGGAAGAGTCTCAAGTTTGAGGCAGGCTGACCAGGCCTCCATTGAGGGACAGGAGTAGAACAAGGCAAAAGTCAGAGTGATTCCCCCAGAGCATTCCGTTAGGGCCTATGTGCTGCAGTTGACCCCAGATTCCTCCGCTTTTACAATGGATTACCAAGGACAATGGCCTAAAGTGGAAGCAGGCAAACCACATTAAAAAGGTGCTGACCCAAGATGGGTGGAGGTTGATGGGGGAGGGCCTGCAAGGGACCTGGTGGAGGTGGCAGGGGAGAGGCAGCTGGGAGGCTGCTGAAGAGTCACCTCATCTCTTCTTGTCCCCGTCATACACCAGGTTGGTGACCTTTGGGAAGATTGCTGTCCCCTCAGGCTGTCAGTTTTTTCATGTGCTCCTAGGCGGGACTAAGGTATATAAATCAGTGGAATAAATAAAATCACGTAAGTGAAGTACCTGCAAAGTATCTGACACACTGTAGATTCTCCATTAATAAAGCTATAACCATTATTCCTAGAATAAAAGGGGGGGAAATGGATGGAATATTACTCATTCATAAGAAAGAATGAAGTACTACCCGTGGCCTGGTAGCTCAGTTGGTTAGAACATTGTCCTGATACACCACGTTTGCAGGTTTGATCCCCAATCAGTACACATATAAGGATCAATCAAGGAATGCGTAAATAAGTGGAACAACAAATTTCTCTCTCTTTCTCTCCTTTCCTGTTTCTCTAAAATCAATCAATAAATTTTTTTAAAAAAGGAATGAAGTACTGATTTATGCCACAGTGTAAATGAACCTTGAAAACATGCCGCATGAAAGAAGCCAGAAAAGGTCGCCTGTTGTATGATTCCATTTATATGAAACATGTAGAATAGGCAAATCCATAGAGACAGAAGGTAAACTGACAGCTGCAGGGGCTGGGGAGGAGAGAATGGGGACTGACTGCCTAACGGGCTCAGGGCTGACAATATTTTAGAACTAGATAAAAGTGGTGGTTATACACATCATGAATGAATGAAATGCCACTGAATTGTGTACTTTAAAATGATAACTTTGATGTGTATTTCATCTCAATTAAAAATAATTTTAGGCCCTGGCCAATGTGGCTAAGCAGTTTGAGCACTGGCCCACACACCCAAGGGTCACAGGTTCGATTCCAGGGCACATATCTGGGTCGCAGGTTCAATCCCTTGCCCCTGTCAGGGTGCATGTGGGAGGCAGCCAATCAATCTGTCTCTCTCACATTGATGTTTCTCTCTCCTTCCACTGTCTCTAAAAATCAAAGGAAAATATCCTTGGGTGAGGATTAACAAGGAAAATAAATAAATATATAAATAATAAATGAAATTATTTTAGCCCTGGCTGGGTAGTTCAGATGATTAGAGCATCATTCACATACACCAGGGTTGTGGGTTTTATCCTCAGTCAGGGCACATACAAAAATCAACCAATGAATAATATACAAATAAATGGAACAACAAATCAATTTCTCTCTCTCAAAGCAATAAAATAACTTTAAAAATAATTTTGGTAAATGTGTGTGTGTGGGGAAAGTTTTCAAATTTCCTTACAGTTCCAAATCTATAATTTTATTCAACCGACTTTCTCTTTGCCACCTTTCTCCATAGTATGTGTCGGGGGTGGGGGGCAGGTGGAGAGAAACCAGGGGTGAAGGAGAATTTCCGGAGTACTCCAGGGAAGTGCCAGGGCTCTGGGAGTATACTCGTTCTCCCCTCGTTGGGTTAGGAATGGTGATAGAAAGGAGGAGGTCCATTTCCCTAGGAGTCTAACATGTCAGAGCTGTGTAGTCCATGAGAAAACAATTGTGTAGAAGGCAAACCAGAGCCATTGGAGAAGCAACTTGCTCCAGGCTACAAAGACAGGCAGTCCTTGGCCTCTGGGTGGTACAGTAGGAAACAGGGCTGTGAACTAGGACTCCAGGGCCTATATGGTCATTCTGATTCTGGGGCTACTTGCCCAAGACCCCAGGGTTTTATCTCCACAGTGAGAGGCTGGGATATATAAAGGGCTAATATGAAGACTTAGGAGGTGGAAAGAAGGAGGCCATTGGAATTCTTCAGAGAAAGCCACCTACTCTCGGACCTGGAGCTGGTGAAGAGCAGAAGGTAAGCTAACTCCTGCCCCGGCAGACCCAGACCACCCCAGAGGCTGCCAGCCTCGTGGCAGGACTTCCACCCCACCCACCACTTGCCTGCTCTGCTCTCTGGACAGTGCCTCCTTCCTCCTGACAGGTAGACTACAACTTTACCAGGGCTGACTTGTCTAGCTGCCAGCCAGAGATGCGGAAGCAAGACTCCTTAAATTCCTGAATGCCACTGGGCCATGGAGATCTGGGAGACAGAATTAGCATCTGTCCATATGTCCTCCAGGGCCTGAGGACTTTTGTAAGGCAATCCCCAGCTCAGCCTGCCAGCCACTGTGAACACCCCCGCCTTCCTTACATACACTAATGAATATAGAGTTATTTTTTTTAAAGAATTTTTTTGTGTTTTTGTTTTTAATATATTTTTATTGATTTATTAAAGAGAGGAAGGGGGAGAGAGAGATAGTTAGAAACATTGATCAGCTGCCTCCTGCACACCCCCTACTGGGGATGTGCCTACAACCAAGGTACATGCCCTTGACCGGAATCGAACCTGAGACCTTTCAGTCCACAGGCTGACGCTCTATCCACTAAGCCAAACCGGTTTAGGCTGAAGTTCTTGAAAGCCTTTGGTGGGATGGAGTTGGGGATTCCTGTAACCCAGGTGTGTCTTAAAGACCTGTTCTCTCACCACAACTTTTTTTTTTCCAGAGAAGAAAATGTAACTGGACAAACAATGAGTCTGTGCTGCCTGTCACTACTCAAGCCAATTAACCACAGACAAGGTTGAATCATATATGAGCGTTTATTCCAATATTGATGGCAATATGGGAGAGCAGCAGGTCGTCCACAAAAATCTGCTCTGCAGCCCACCATAAGCCAGCACTTATATAGGTAGAACTACAATACAAAGGAAAGTAGGCAAAAGGGCAAAGGAGCAGTTCACAGATATGGAAAGGGCTGAGGATCTTCAAAGGCCTTAGTGACATGCAAGGGCTGGGGTTACTCGGGGAAATAGCCAAAGGGTAGGCCAAATGGGCAGTTAACAGATAAGCAGGCTGGAGATTTGCAAAGACCTGCAGGTATGTAAAAATGGGTTGGGGAATTCTGACTTCTGGCTCTGGTTTCTGCAACAAAGTTGTTAATCTTTCCATGATAATGGACACACCAAACCAGGAGGATGGGCTGCATTTCCAGGTGAAACTCCCAGGTCCTGAGTGCAGCTGTCAGCCAAGTTAGAATGTGCCTTCCTTAATCAGAACAAAACAATCACAGTTAACAGAGCATGATTAATATTTCTTACAATACTAGCTAGTTCTCCAACATTCTATTTCTGCCCCCTTTCAGAGAGAGAGAGAGAAACATCAATGATGAGAATCATTGATTGGCTGCCTCCAGCATGCCCCACACTGGGGACTGAGCCCACAACCTGGGCATATGCCCTGACTGGGAATTGAACCGGGACCTCCTGGTTCATAGGTCAACATATGAACTGGCAGGGCTATCATACAACTTCTGAGAGTAGATCTAAGAGGGAGGTAGGAATGGCGTCCCCTCCCCCACATCCCCAACAACCTAGAACACCACTGTAGGTTGAGGCAGGGGGGAAGTCCAGATACATGCATCTGCAAGGTAGATGGTGACGGAGATAACTGGCACCTTCCTAGACCCCTGGCCCGAGGCAGGAATTCCACATCTCTCATAACCTCCGCCCTCCCCTCACTAAACAGCTGTATAAAAGAAGTACCTATGCCCCCTTTTTGGCTCGAACTTCCCTGGCCCACCCTCGGACCAGAGAGTTTCGCCTGGGAGCGCAAGATTAAAACCTGCCCCCCTTTTAATCGCCTGGACTCTGTGTCTTGTTTCCTGTGTTGCAAACCTCTCAACCACTCCACAGAACTTTCTGTGTTCTGCTTGAAGCATAGAAATCCCTCTTTGGAAAAACTGCCGTTTGAAACTGCTGTTTGAACTACTCTGTTATTCTTAGTCTCTTATTCTGTAGGTCAACTCTGTTATTTTTAGACTGTAAAATAACTTTGTTTTTAGCTTGAATGATAGAAAAGATAAACTTAACCTTGCAAGCTAGCCATATAAAGAGGTTGATATATTGATACTGATACTGATAATAATTCCCATATTCTGCTAAGTATTTGTTCATCCAAGGTTACAGGTGTCTATATAGATGTGATATTTATTCAAGGTTACAAGCTGTCTTACACAAAGAACTAGAAGGATATAAAAAAGAAATACTCCCGCCTGTGCTTGTTCAGAATTTGACAGGTAATCTTCTCTGAACCTCTGGGCAAGAAAGATGATTCCTAACTAATTGGTTCATTAAGGTTCATTTGCAATACAGCATGCTGAATGCCACCAGCTTCAAAGACCCTTATTAATCCTAGCACAAAG